GCAAATAGGCTCACCAAGAAATAGTTGTTGTGGTACCCTCTTTAACTTGTGGGGTTGTGTTTCAGGAAAGCATTTAAACAATTGCTTAAGTCCTTCCCTGCCCAGGAATGTACTTACCAGCAAGCTTGACTTGAACCATGTGCTCATTTAATCTGACTTCAGTAGGACTGAAAACCTGCGTCCCGCGAGCCTTTTTGGATTAAAGATATTTTCCTGAACACAATCTAGTTACATCAATTCCAAGGCATGGTTGGGCTTTAAATTATTTATTTTACTTAGAATTTCAGTAGCAACGTCTTCTCTCCACATAGTTTTGTTTTAATGTTCGTCTACAATGCAATTAAATGTGCATCCAAGGATATGCATCTTTTAAGACAGTTGCTTGTCAGGTCTGAATTTTCTCTCTTCAAGAAGTTTTAAAATTAAAAGACCAGAAAACTAAAGCTGATAAAGCCCCTGTACTGTGAACGAGAAACATCCCAAGTGGAAAAATCCCTTGAGACCTCCAACAAAATTCCACTGTTCATGGGATGACAACTGTGTTGGAGGTCAGAGTGTCTCAGGTTCTACTAAAGGAACATAAGAACAAGGAAAAAGGAAAAAGCCAAATCCCTCAGGGAACTGCCATCTAGGGAACAGCAGTGTGTTAGTGTTTGGTTTAGGACATCAGTGCAGGACAGTAAGAGCTAAGTGACTCTGGGTGACGGATAGAGGAACGTGATTTTCACCAGGTATTCTGGGACTGCATTTCCATCACCTGGCAAATTCTGCTAAATAAATCACCTTCTTGCTGCTTGGTGCTAGTGGTGGCACTGTGTGTTGTTGCTCAGCACCACAGCACATAAAAGGCATCGTGTCAAAGGTTTTGCTATGGTCCCAGTGACAAGTGGAAAGAAAAAACAGAGACGCTCGGATGAAGAGACAGAGCAATGAGGTATGGACAGGTGATGGCCAGGAGCTACCAGGTGTTTTCACTGTCTATTGCAAATGTACAGTGAAACTGTTGGATTAAACTCTAGCTTGAATTAACCTGTCTTCACGGAGGTTGATGTTAATGTGCTTTCCTTTGATCTAATATGAGTGTGCTGGTGGTGGCTAATGGTTAACATGGTTAATGCAGGTTCAGCTAAGCAAATTGGTAAAGTTCTGGTAACTCAGCTGCTTTCACTTTTCCCTTTGTACACTGATTTTACCTGCATTGCCACTTTAAGAACCTCCATGGTTCCACAGCCCATAGGATGACTGCGTGTCCTGTCCTCCTCCTCTCAAACCCAAGGATAACCAGCAGCAGCATGTACACCTTGCGTGCAGTCTTGCAGGACTTCTGGGTAGCTAGGCGAGCGGCACTGAGGAATTTGGCTTGGGCAATCTGGAGTGCTTCCTCTGGGTGATCTCACAAACGCGATGAAGTCTCCTGGTTGCAGCTGAATATATCTGAACATTGTGCTCGAGACATTGCTTAAGAATATGATGACTGCAACTGACATGGAAGTTGCTTGGGGACATTATGGCATGCTACCTCTTCAGATAGGCTTTGGAGATGGCAAAGTGGGGTCTGTAACTTGTTGGAGGTTTACTTTGTAATATACACCAAAGACAAATGGAAATTGGCAGCTATCCCTGGAAAGATCCACAAGATTTCTTTTTAGAGTAGCCTGATGGCTTGTTTTCTTACTACTTTCACTATTGATAGCATCAATTTGCTCTTGAAGACAATAATTAGAAAGAAAAAAAAAAAAAGACGGCTTATGTGCAAGAAGATACAGCTATTTGTATATGGACACTTTGTTCTAAGGGCCAAATTCCCTGTTCTAAGGGAAAGAATGCACATGCAAGACTGGCAGCACATGAGACATGCTTATTGCTTCTCCTCTGAAAGCTGTGAGGAAGCAATACCTGGAGGAGCTTGAAGACAAAATCCTACGTGTAGTATGATTATTCACCTCAGAGCTCCTCGTGTACTTGCAAGTACAACATTTTCAGTTATTCTTGTCCCCATGCCACATGGCAAACAGAACAGGACTGGAGAAAAAGCTGCTTTGAATATATACCCAGGGAAAGGCAGGCAGAAGCACTGAGTGTGGAGGAGATAGGATGCTGCTAGCCATGGAGCCATAAACCCCATAATACAAGATGATGCCATTCATCTGCATTTGGAAGGAGATTTCTGTATGTCTGGACCTTGGTGAGGGACACTCAGAAACTTTCTCGGAGGCTCGGGGTCGCCAGATGTTCTCGTGTAAGGAGGGTTGCCTGAGGAAACTGTTTAGCATGCAAACATTACCCATCCTACAAAACCAGACAGCTAAGCCATGTCCTCTGCAGTGCCATCTGCTATGGGGGTTGCCTTTCCACATCATATGTGTCCTTCAGGCTCCTGGGTCTGGAGCCCCTTCTGACAGCAGGACTAGTTACGTGGTTGTAAAATGTGGTCATGAAACTGCTCAGCAGACTAGAAATTGGTCAGACCACATTGGTGATGTATCAGATGCCTGGTGCCTGCAAGCCAGCAGGGAGCACAGGGGTGTCTCCTGCTCACCTTGTGAGAGCGTGGTGGTCTCTAAACAGCATCTAAAGTCCCTGCTCTTTCTGGAAAACAGTGCTACCTGCCCGGAGCCTGTGACACATGTGATCTTTGCAGCATGGGCTAGCACAAACATGAGTAAAGGGCCAGTAGAATCTGGGGATTTTAGGAACATCCAGATATGGGAAAGATCTTTATCTTGATTTAGGGTATATGGTACAGGATTAGTATGTTTGCTTCCATAGAGGGAAGATGAATACAGTCCCCCAGCATTTCTGAAGTAGTGCCAGTGAGACAGTGACTGCTAATTTGCAGCATGAACAGCAACAGGCACTGTGTGAGGAGCTGCCTTTGCTTTAGGGGAATAATGCAGAGATGTAAAGAGCAATCAGATCTGAGACCTCACCGTTTTGGTGGCATCATACTAGCTCGTCTGGCCTCCCTCCTCTTCTTCCCTCACCAAACACACATACGGTACACCTCCTGGCCTCAGCACAGAGCAGAGCATTAGGTGTCTAGACATTTACCACGTGTATTTCAACTTAAAAGGTTTGGCATGGAGCACCTACAAACCATCAGATAATAGCACTGTTGTCTCTGCATAGATGTAGGGTGTGTAGATGTTTTGGCAAGCAATGACAAATATAACTGTTTTTTTCTTGTGCGATGTATCATCTCAGTGACAGAAGTTTGGCAAGAGGGCTTGTGCCTGTGCAGACAGCCGTTTTGTGTGATTTTGCAGGGTTTCTGCCGCGAGCGTGGCATCAGGTGAACCGAAGACAAAGATTACTTTTTCAAAGGAACCATCATTGCTGAGGTGTTCAAGTGCTGTATATTCACATACTGAGCCCACATCCCCTGAAATGTTGTTTGAAAATAAGCCCTCAGGTAACCTCCAGGAAGAGGGAGGCAAAAAGCGATCGGGGGTGAGGGAGCAGGACTCTGAGATTTACGTGCAAGATCTGCTCAGTGCTCATGCCGTACCTACCGTGGTACTGGGTCAGGACTTGCTTGCTTTCACAGGCATCCTGTGAGTTACACACATAAAAATGAAGTCTCCTGGGACTTGATCCAGAACATGCAAGTGTTGATGAGATTATAACCCTGAGCACCAGTGTTTGTAAGGCTCTTCTGGAAATGGGATGTGTGTTCCTGGCCGCTTAATGCTTTTCCAAGTTCTGTCCAACAGGTCCCAGTGAGGACTCCTGTCCGCTCTTGGTAAGGTTGTAGGTTTTCTTAGTGACTCCTGGCGGTGACCCAACACCTCTGCCACGTACTCCACGAGGTGTTCAGACATCATTTAAAACTCTTCGAGCGTGATCTGGCTGCTGACAGGCGATGCTGGGCAAAGAACTTTGTGGTTTGGTGTGCAGCCACTGAAGTCAGCAACAAAGGCGGGATGGGAATACCCTTGTCTTTAAACAGAGCCGTGCACTGGTGCGCTTTTCAGCCAAGATCCCAGCCTCTTCCAGGACTCCTCCATGCTGTCTGAGAGTGAAAGGGATAAAGTGTTTTCTCCCAGACAAAAGAAAGCAAATATTCATTATTCTGATAAAATTAAGAGCCGTAAGGATCATCTGTTTCCTGCAGGAGTGGAAAATTGGGTAATTCTTGTTTCAGCCTTCTGATGATACAACACCTTTACAGATGGTAGCTGATACATATCTGCCATCACAATGCCATCATTTTTTTTGGTTTTTATTTTGTTACGCTAAGAGTCCTTTGCTGCAAGTATTAGAGCTGCACACAGCTCACAGTAGCCATCACTTGCTGATCTGGCTACACTTTCAAGCCTTAGAGCAACTCATGACAATTTTTGTAGTTTATGAGGACAAGGTGTCTAGAGGGAAGAAAAGAAAAAAAGGGATGCAGACTTCAATGGGCATGACTGTGCATAAGGTATGGAACATCCCCAAATGGCCATCTGTGTATCCTGTTCTGGTGCAGCAGTTGACTCACTGTCTCAGTTCAGGACTGAAGCAGCACTAATAACAAGCCGTTACTGTGAGGACTATCAAGTACCAGAGCTCAGCTCAAACCAGATGACCCGATTTTGACAATCTGGCATTTGGAGAAACCAGGAACTATGACCTAATTTCCTAGCACGTGATAAACCCTGCCTTGGGAAGCCAGAAGCAATCTAAGTCTCTGTCTTCTGTTGTGGTTCTATAAATTGCCTGACTGATACTGTGATTCAGGAAATGGCCACCATAATTTTCAAACCGAGGCCTCTCAGAAGTTAATTAGTCCCTGTGGGATTAACTGCAATATAATTTCCTTGAGTCTGGTGCTGTTATATCTTCCAGGGCAACTGGCGTTGTATGGTCAGGCTCTTGATTTTAGTAGGTTGTTTCCCAAAGTGCTCTTGGTGCTCTCAGAAGTAGTCCTTGGGTGAGCCAGTAGTGTGAGCCAGTGGCAGCTCATGAGATGGCAATCTCACAAGCAGAGCAGCAAGCAGCTTGTGGGGAAATGTGGCATGGGGGTGAACGTTACCAATCCATGGGCTGGACAAACGAACACCCTGGGAGGTGCGAGGCTGTATGGAGAACTGACCTAAGATTTTCTTACTGGTAGGAGGCAATCAGTGCCCGAACAGTCATTGCAAGTGGGTTGTAGCAAGGCCCGAGGGCACAAAAGGGCAAACCCTTGTCAAAGAGACTGCTGGTGACTGAACAGCTCGTCATTTCCATGAACATCCCGGACTGTCTTTAGCAGCTTTGTCTGCTGAATAACTCACAGCGCAGACGAACTTCCATTTGCCATGAGCAAAGTTTGTAAACACAGCTCAGTTTGGAAAAGATAGTTGCAGCCTACCTTTCAGATGGAAAGAAGTCCTGTTTTTGTCCACTGACTAGTTGCAGCATACAGAAGGAAGAGAGGGTCCCTTCAGTTTGTGAAACCTCTGCCCCTGGACAGGTTTGCGCAGCAATGTGCATTTTTCAGATGTGCCCTCTGTGTAGCATGCTTTTTTCCCAGCGATCTTTCTTGGAGTCTTCAGGACACCCTGGCCTGTCACGGTTCTACAGACTGAGGACTCCTGTTACAGAAGTGTCCAGAGCTCAGAGAATCAGACAACATGCTTACATCGTTAGCCTGTGCATGGTGCATCTGTTCATCTTTCCAGCTTGTTTTGCTTGGAGTGGGTTCTTCAGTTGGGTTTATGCAGTTCTTTTACCTGTTATATACTACATTAGCAGCAAAAGCTGCAACAATAGAAACCTTTTTAAAATGACCTGTTCTTAGTGTGCAGAGTTACACCTCTGGGGCTGCAGTAATGGTCAGCTGTGGCTGCAGAATTGAAGGTTAGAAGGAGAAATCCAACATCTCCCTCCTCTTGAGTGTACCACCTCTTCCCTTTTCCTGCTGTGCTGAGTTGGTCACTGTGGGGATCACTAGCTCAGTACACGGATGTTCAGAGCAACCTTTCACAGCTAACCTGCACTGGGCTGCAAAATCCATTAGCTTCAGCCCTGTAAAAAGTAGACTTAAAGTATAGTGGATATAATAAAATTATAGTGGTATCATAAAAATGTATTACTCTTTCATGAAGGATATTAAGTGTCTGAGCATCTATAAAAAGGTTCTCCATCAATCCTCTGCTTTCAGTTGCTGCCTGTGGGGCTAAGGCTCTCCTTTTAAGAAATGCTTACTGCATGTCTTCCCTTAACTCATGGTATTCATCAAGACGCGCCTGCCTTTGGTCCACTGAAGCAACAGGGCCTGACTGTGTTGTGTCTAACAGGGAGTAGAAAGTGGTTATGAGTGGAAAATCCTACCTGTTGTGTCATCCTCCCACTGTTTCTGCAGCAAGGTAAAAGATGCTGTGTTACTCCCTCTCTATTACTGGCTTAGCAACCTTAAGGTCACTTCATGTTGGTGGCCCTCATGCCACATCTGAGTTTTCAGTGCACAAACTTGTGGGAAATCATCAGGGAAGTGATGTGTTTCATCTTTCTTAAATTCATTATATTTTGTGAAAAAGACCAAGTTTCTCTTGGCCAGAAATGGTGGCAACATGTCACTAGGAAAAGCTATTTTTATCCCTTTCTTCATTTGTTTTCTAGTGTATTCAACTAAGCTCAACAAGTTTCCCGTATTTAATCTTGATGACGACCTCAAATACCTGTGTATCAGTGCTGTGAGTGCCAACACCACCAAGGCCACCCTCTATGCTCTCAACGTGTGGAGATACTGGTGCATGACCAAAGGACTCGGAGATTACATGGACATCACTAAGGTCAGAAAATTTAGCCAAATACTGTTTTTTCAGTTGTGGGAGCCAGGTCCCCTGGTCAAATGAAGTTATCATAACATTTGAAAAGAGATGGGATTTCAGCCTTCCTTACGTCCTTGTGGTCTTGGGGACCTTCCAAGTCTCTCTTAATAAAGCTGTAACCTCTTCTAATTCACACCCTAGTGCCTTCATGGTTGAGCCAGTAGCTTGGAAACCCAGGGTAATGCTAAAGATTTCCATGCACGTAACACTTGTACACAACCTTGGCCTCATGCTGCCACGTGACAAGGTTTCTTGCTGTTACCCTAAGGACATACTGTTGGCATGATTTCTGCTCCCAGAGCTAGCCAATGCAGTTCAGAGCGTTTGAGGACTTTTCTCCAAAAATGAATTCCCAGCAAAATCAGTGTATGCACCAAAATAAGGACTGTGGCTAAGGGCCAAAGTACAAAAAGCCCAACTAACGTTTTTATAGCTAAGTTTCTCTGTTAGGTTGATCTAAGACCAGGCAGGGTAAAGCAGCCTGACTGGCAGCCTGACTGCAATACTGACATCTCATGGCCAAAAAAAGCAGCTGCTGCTGCTTCTGCTTTTTCTCCTCCTCCTCTTCCTCCTTACCCTCCTTCTCTTTCTCCTCCTCGTCCTCGGCTTGAAAAGTTTCCATATGTACCACGTTGCTGCAAAAGTACAGAGTATTACACGCAAATGGTAGGTCACACATTTTCATACGGTCACACATTTTCACACAGTCACACCTCAATGTGACTGAAACCTTCATTGACTTCCAAAAAAGCCAGGAATTTGGATCGTATTCTGAATCTGTATTTCTACAGCTGGAGCAAAAGTGGTGCCAGCCAGTGAAATGGATCTGGTCTGCCTAAGCATCCTTACACCATCGGTTTTATTGCATCTCTTTTGCTTAGATAAACATGTAGCCTCTTCCCAAGACTCTAAGGCTGCCCAGAAACAAACTTCTGGGGAAGCACGGAAACTGCTGCGGGTTCCTTCAGATAGAGCATGGAGAAGCCCTAAACGTGTCTTCCCCACCTGCGATGCATTTCCTTCCCATAAGTACCCTGACACATCTTTCCCCTTCTTCTTGTTCCAGATCCCAGCAGTGAAGCTCAATGAACTCCTCGAGGACTTTTACAACACTGTGAAGAAAACAGACGGCTCCGACTTTCTAGGTATGTCCCTCCACGCTATCCAATGAGGCCTGGACCGAATTCTCAAGAATGCTGGTGCTGGTTTCTCCATCACCAGCAGCACCTTCAGCTCTTCCACCAGAAAGCTCAAGGAGAAGCTTAAGGTCCTGAGTAAGGCTGGGATGTCTGGTGCCCTCTCTCGTAATGTTGTCTACTCTCCCTTTCCAATGAAGAAGAGATGTGGAAGATAGGATGCCTGGGAGATAACAGCCCCGTAGCCCTGCTGTCCACGGTGGTGAAATACAACAGCCAATACCTGAACATGCGTACCTTACAGGAGCACGCGGACTTAATGTTTGGTGACATTGAATTGCTCAAAGACTCCCAGAACAGGCCGTTTTTTGCCAGAACGGGTAGCGTGAAGCAAGAAAACAGGGTGAACATGAACAGAGGGTATTACGGACAGATCTACCACGAGCACTCAAAGTTCTGCCCATACTGCCTCCTCTACAAGTACATGTACATACACTGGCCCCCAATGCAGATGGAGTCCAAGTCTCCCTTCTACTTGATGGCCCAGAAGGAGGTCAGCGGCATGGGGAACATCTGGTACGAGGAGCAGAGGATGGGGCTCCGCTCCCTCAGGAGTGTCATCCCCAAGCTGGCGAAGAAAGTGAAGCTGGAGCACTGTGAAAATTTTACTTTTGTCTCCTTCACTCAGGCTTCCAGGAAGTTTGTCCCTCTTAGCTCCTACCAGTAACTCTGTCTGCTCCCACCAGCTTCCCCAGAAAGTGCTTCTCCCAGTAGCTTTAGTGTGATGTGAAGAGGGCTGAGCTGCTTTCAAAGAAGAGCAAAAAGTGGAAAGGCAGGACATTACATTCTTCCTGAGAAGGACTGCACCATTTTGGGGATGAATACAGCCTTGTTCTGAAAAGCAGGGGGCAGTGGTCTCCTTCACCACTGCCAGGTCTTTCGAGCAAAGAGGTGGTGGAGAGAGCTTTCCTCATCGGAGCCAGCAATGCGTGTATTGTGGATTTTTCCTCCTTTAGCAAGCATAGCTAGGAGAAAGGAGACTGAGTTTTGGGGAACAAGAACTCTTGAAGCAGCAGTGCCTATGCTTTCTTTCAGAGCTACTGTACAAAAGTTACTCTCTTCTGAACTATTTTTTTTTTATACAGTTCACAGTTTTCTCCAATTGTTTGGTGTATTGTAAATATATTTTTCAATACCTGGTCATTTACACTGGATCTGTAGGTGCTAGAAACTACTATTAGCTTTACCAAATAACAAAAAACCCAAATGAAATTAATTACAGAATCCGTAAAGGACAGTATTTTCAGTCAGCCATTTATAAATGGTGAGCCCTTAGCTCAAAAATCAGCAGTCTGGGGCTGTCCAGGTTTTGAGACATCTTAAAGGGGGCTTGTATCAGAAGTCGAATGCTCAGCAGCTTTTAAAAATGAAAGCACGCTAAGGTGTCTCAAGTCTGGCATCCAAATGATGTAATTTTCACAAATCAGTGGTTAGTTGTAAAAATAATTGCCTTAAAATTCTACACATACGACTTGGCACCTTCTGTTGAGAGAAAGACTTCATTTCAGTTGCAGCTGTGGCAAGCCTGTAAGTCACAAAAAAGAAAACTTGGAAGGCCTAAAACAGAGTTGGGGATGTGCAATTTGATGATGGTGCATTCTGCTTCTATTCTAATGGAAAGATACGGCTGGGTTTTTTTTCCACCAGGTTGCAGGGCGCTGAGAGGATTGATGAGGTTTACCAAGCCCACTATACAGTCATTGATCCTCTAGTACTGTATAACACCTTGAAATCACAGCTTCAGTCCAATAGGTACGTGACTGTAAAGATAAAATAATGACATTTAGTTGTACTTTTTTGAAAGACATCTTCTCCCTCCCCCAAATTGCTTGAATTCTCTTTTTTTTTTAAATGTTAGTTTGATTTCTAGGACATCTATGTTGCAAGATACAGTCTTGCTCCTGTCTTTTAAATGCTTTTGCACAGCATTATTTTGATTTTAAGAAAGTAATTTTCTGGATATTGAAACACGGAGTAGCATCAACTTTAGCAGGGGAAACATCTGCTAGGAAAAGCCTTGGCAGCCTTTGCTGGAGGAGGCAGAGGATGTTCAGGATTTCCAGACAAGCTCATGTAATGGAAATAGGAGCTTCTGTCTGAACAAGGTTTCAGGTGTGCATTGTGGGCGTTGCTCCCAGAGGAAAAGACCTATTTGTCACCATTTTCTTTTGTTTCATGGGCAATGGTAAAGGGCGTTCCTTGTTAAAAAATACCACTCTATGGCCTGCTGAGCAAATCACCAGTTAAGACTGAGAAAAAGCAGAAGCTGGGCTGGGATAGGGTTTATTTGTCTTTGAAAGGAGCAGAAGAAGGTGTTCTAACACAAACCGTTTTGAAACCGGAGCGCCCTCACAAAATAAGACTCTTTGTTCGGTAACTAATTGAGGAACCTGCTCTTCAGAGGTGCTGACCTGCTGGAGCGCATCCTGCAGTCACTGCCACCGCGCAGTTCCCAGGTTAGGACCTTCTGGTGGCTGTTGGCAATAAAAGCAGTTATGGTGAGGTCTTCTCAGGCATGCATAGGAGGTACAAAAGCCCAGTGGCCATTCCCCTAATTTCTAGAAGATTTTTGCCCTTCATTTCTTTTTTCAGGTTGATGTGGCTGTATTTGGTAGGTCAGGAATGCTCTCCGGTGCGCTGCAGAGTCCTGCCGCTGTGGCAGCACTGGGTGGAGGGTTTCCTAGAGAACACCTCCGCTCCCTTCTCTGCCCATGTGCCCCGGCGAAGCCTGGCCTTGCAGGAGAGGTGGGCACTTGACTGGGCTCAGACCTTGTGGCACCCCTCATCTGCAAGGTCATTATTGATAAATGGAACTCCTCTGGGAGTCTTGTAAGAGCCAGTACTCAAGAATCACCTAGCCAAAAAGAAAATGGCCCTTGTTGAGCCAGTGGGTGTTTCTTGCTCTGTCCTTGTTCCAGCCAGTGGGTGTTTCTTGCACTCAATGCTTTTTCTTTAGAATACCTCTCATATTGCAAAATCAGAGCACTTAGCAAATCCTGACTTTATTTTTGTGGGCCATGGAGATTACTCTGGCACAGCATTATTTCTTATTCTGGGTTCTAAGGTAGATATTACGGTTCATTGAGAATTTGCTGTTAACTGCAGGGATTTTATTTTGCACTCCCTCCCCACTCACTCCAGACCAAACATGTGTGATGCGAGGCATATGCTCACCCTGGCAGGCTACAGAATTATGCCCAAGATTATCAAAATACTGCTGAGCTGAGTGACTAGCATGATAAGACTTCAGGGCTTATGATTTTGAGGCCTTTGAGGCTTTTCTGCAGCTTGTCAGGTTGGGCACTCATAATTGCTAGTTACTTTGGAAGACCTTGGCACAGCTAAGAACGACCACCGTTGGCACGGGTGACAGGGGACATGCATACATCTCTCCTTATCAGCGTGGGGCTGTGCACTTAAGCACATTGTAGCAGACAGACCCGATGTTTTAGTTTTAACATTCTTTCTCATCAGGATGAATGATTAATACAATGTCCTCCTACAATCGTGCGTGCTGGGGAGGGAGGCAGACATTCCCCTTACACAGAACAGAGAGCTAAGTAGAGTCAAGAGTGTGTGTTTGTATCTTCACTTTGAAATGTGTCCTCCTCACAGTTGAACTTACAAGGGCATGGAGCCAGCAGAACATCTGGCATGATGCATTCAGTCCATGTGGCTTAAGTTGAAATTAAGTGATGTTTCAATTTTGCTTCAAGAAAATGTTTTTTTCTGAAACCAATGTAAAAAATACGTTTAACTCAATTAAGTAAAGCAGTAAAGCGTTCCATTCTTTGGCAGACTTTCAGTTACTCAGAACATTGATTTTGGACTTTATCTGCTCAATACTATTTAGTAAGTCACTAAGCTTTCCTGAAAAACAAAACCAAACCAAAACCGCCACATACCGCTGTCCTGAGCCAGGCCATACACTTGCACATAGGCAGAGTCCAAAGAACCTTGCTTTTGTGACCCACCCATGTTTCCTAAGGACTCAAAGATGAATGAGAAGGGAAAATAGTAACAGTTTAAGAGGTATCACTTACTTAAAAAAAAAAAAAAAAAAGTCATGCATTGTGCTTTTTTCCACTCCATTTGTTGTCTCTTTGCCAATCTGATGATTTGGAAGGTCCCAGTGTAAAGGAGTTGAATGCTTTGGGTGGCAAGGCTGTAGTCAATTTTTCTGGACTGGAAATCTCTAACTGCCATGATGGGCCAAGAGTAATTGCAATTTTCACTGCAGACGGGCTATTCACTACGCAGAGAGGGAGAAGGAATTGCTCCTATTGAAGGCAGATGCTGCAGCGTCTACAGGGCATGTCTGGCTCATCCCGTGACCCAGGTTGAGCACCCTTATGCAAGGGAAAGACAAAACATGAACTAACCAGGACTGCAGATCACCAGGTCAAAATTAGGGAAGTGAAGGCAGACAGAGAACAGCAAATCCTACACTCACATCTCCATAAAGGAGTCTAAGGCATAGGAAAATGTCACCTAGAAAAACTGCTTGGAAGGACGCTCAGGCCAGGAAACAGAAACACCTCCCAACCTCGACCAGCAGCCACAAGTCCGGATGTAGGAGAGTTTGCAGAGCCACAATCAAATATGACCTGCTAATTATTGACTGTTTTTCTGCTCTGAAGGAAAACTTTACCTTGAGCTCCACATCTCCCTGATAATTTGTTCCCTGATAGAAACAAGAGCTCTCATTATTGGTGTTAACGTTAGGGTGAGAAAAGAACTGGGCAACAGTGGAAGAAGAGACAGGTAAACAGACAATTAATCAAGCAGTGCAGAGAGAAAACAGGTGGCATTAAGGAATAGATGTGGATGCAGAAAGCAGAGCAGAGAATCACAGACTGTTCCCAGTGGTCCCGTTTCCAGGAATGAATGGAAGGTGATCAGTCCTTCCCAAAGACACCAAGTAAACAGGGGATGGAGAAGGTCCTATAGCTGCAGAGAAGGTCCCTGCCTGGTGGCTGAGGGCCTTTAGTCATCCTCAGGACAGCTGCAGCATGCCCAGTCCCTGGGTGAGCCACACAGTCCCTACGGTCCTGCGAAGACACTTCAGGACCTACCTGACGGGGCCTGGTCTGACTTTGTAGAAATGCACGGTAGATGAAGTTGATTTTGCTGAGCTCACTGATGAGGTTTGTGGGAAAAGGGAGCCTGCCTGGGAAAAAACAGTGAGATGGGATGTGATCAAGTGATGTCATGCACGAGTGAGAGAAGTGAGGTTGAGCCACAGTGGTTATTCTCAAAATAGAGCTTCGCATAGCTAGTTAAAACATAATCCCAAAGGAAACCAGATCAGTCATTGATCTCTCAGGAGATTGGAGGAATCTATCCCAGATCTGCCACCAAGGTCACAGGTGTGCTGGTAGTTGGAGGACAAGCTGTTGTGCGTGTACTTAGTTGAAGAAGTCCCATAGACAATTCTAGAATATTTTTGGGTTCTTTCTGCCTTCTGCTCCTGGTGTGGGAGGAGTGTCTAGCTGGAAACAGTCCTGCACAACGTAGCTGGAGCTTTTTAATCTGGAGCTTTTGAATAAAGCTGTTGCTTTTTAAAACTTAGTCCCAATTTGTCAGTGTGTGCTGGGAGCAGCTCAGGGTAAGGCGTAGCCAGTTGGGTATGAGTCCATAGGCGAGATTTCTGCTCTGCTTGAAAGCTGAACCCTTAACCCTGCCCTATGAGGCTCTCTCACTTTGCTAGCAAAAGCTCACCCAAGACTTTTAGCATCTTGCTGAGGTCCTCCTTGCTCTCTGTAGGGAGGACAGGACCTCACCCCGTTTCCTGCCATCTGGCTGCGCAGCTGCAAAGTAGCCTCTTTCCCAAGGGCGAGATAGTCACCGAGTTGGCTTGAAGCCTGCTGAGCACCCTCCTGAACATCATCAGGGTCTGTCAGTCTGCTCCAGCGCCTTCAGCTTTTTGGGGTTAGCATCGCTGCATCGCTGGGGTGCAGCTGCAGCCACGAACATGGAGAGCAGCTGTGGGCTAGGGAGATTACTGGAGACAAGGGTGGAGGAAGATGCTAACAGAGACTGGTGGGAACACCATGACTTTTGAATGGCTCCTCTGGTATTTCATGTTGGCTATTTCAAATGTGTACAAACGGAGGGGCCAGCTCGTGACTGCTTTTCAAAGCAGTGGCGTTTTCTGGGGTGCACTTGCCTCTGCTTTGTGGTGTTAAAGCAGAACACCTCTGTTTTGAACACTAGCAGATATTATAAACCAAAGCTGTGATGTCTGGGATAGTCGGTCTGAGGAGCAGGATCACTACGTACATGAGCAGGGATTTCATTGCGAAGTTGAGCGATGCCACAGGGACAATCTGTTGTGTGTGGCATCATTTTGACACAACACGCAAGCTGAGTCAAGCTGGGGTGACAGCTTGGAGGTACATGCCACTCCTTTTCCCTTTCCTCCTTGGTCACCTTGTTTTATTCATGAAGGATACACTTAAACTTACAAATGGGCATTTACGTAGCACATGAACAGCTATTGACCTGCTGTAAGTCACATCTGAGCAAAGCTTAAAAGAAAATAAGGGACAAACAGGAGATGACAAGCCTGTCTGCTGAAGCTGGCATCAACTTCAGAAGCAAGCTCTTGCCTGTCAGAAGCAAGGATTTACTAGAAGGAAGCTGTCCAAGATGCAACTCAAGTCTTCACTCTCCAGACCAAAGTCCTTCTGACAGCAGCACTGAAAGCTGGGCAAGGAGCCATCCTGCACAGGTTTGTTGGGTGCACCACATCTCTGAGCCAGACTTTTTGCTCCCTCGTGTTTCCCAGCAGCCCTGGCCCCAGGGGAGAGCCACCCGGTGCTGTTCAGGGACTGCCTGGCACTGGAGCACTCTCACAGCTCCTGAGCACCTAAGAGAGGGGTGGTCCTGTGCTGAGGCTGCAGAGACCCTCAAACGAGCAACCCTGCTCCTGCAAGGAAGAACATTCCTTTGCCCTGAGGCTATCATTGGCTGGGGCTCCTTTGCACTCTTCACCCCTTAGATCAAAGCAATCAAGTCCTTAATTTCCCACCTCTGCCACGCAGGGACATTGTTGCCTGGTTTTCCCTGGTGGGAGTCTCTGGGTAATGAGTGTTTATCCGCCTCCCACCATGGACTTGTGCCTGGTGTCTTCCTTATTGAAGCAGATTAATTTTTATGGCCTGATGGGACCCTGGAGCATCCTGAGTGACTTTGGCCATACCTGTTCCTTCATATCCGTGCAAGGTGCGCTGACAGTGCATCTCTCCTCAACAGTGCTGGCATTCCTATTTTTGGATGAAACATAATTGGCTGCCAAGTCACACCTGGCTGCCAAGTCAGACACTACCCTGTGATTTAGTAACATGAACTCCATGTCAAGGCGTTGTAGCCATTCTCATCAGGCACTTGATTATTTTCCGACTTTTTGCCACCAGCCTGTTACAGAGGTTAATGGGATCTAGTGGTGAGCTCTGTAAAGACAGTCGTTACTGCAGACTGCTGCAATACTAAATGGAGGCCAGCCTGAGACATGAACACGCTCACTGTATCACACCATATGGAAACTCGCCGGGCTACTCGGTGTCATTTATTTAGCTGTTATGTCTAGAGGTACAGCAGTTGTCAGGAAAGCCAAATGACAGGACAAGCATGTATTTTTTTACACACTTCCAGGTAAGATTCACTTTTCCTGTACCAATAGCATTGGCTTTTGCACTTGATACAGTTTGTAGTTTTGATGTTAACGTGCTTTAATAAAATCCTGAAATGTCCCTTGGCTACCTTAGACTTCTATAAAAATCCTGTTAAAGCAAAATTATTTTTATTATTTCACCACTGCCTCCTTGTGCTCTTTGTAATACTTCTCTCTAACATGAAGAATTGCCACCTTGGAGTCTTTAAACTAAATCGCAGTGAGAGTAAGACCTCCTCTTTGTGGTGCTGATTCTAGGGGACTGTTGAAATAGCTGGAGTCAGTTTCTGAGAGGTCTCACATTTGCCCATGCTCTGGAAGGCAGTGTCTTCACCTGCAGCTTGTTTCACCCCTGATGGGGGCTTTAGCTGCTGGGCTTTTTTCTGAGCCTTTCTGAGCGCTGGAACAATGTGGTATTTCATGATCGCTTACTGACTGAGACACTTGCAGGAGATCTGAATGTGCTCCATCCCAGCTCCACGAGCGGCATGTAAGAAGCCTATGGTCCATATGGAGAGCTTTGCCATCAGAGACATTGTCTCCAAAGCCACAGCAGTAGAGGGCTGGTCTCAGCCACCTCCTGTGATAGTATCTGCAGGGGAACAGCGAGTTCAGCACTTGGGCACTCCAGCAGGTCTGGGA